CACTAGAGGACGTTGGGCCCTCAGGCCTCCCTCATGAAGTCTGTTTCTGATTGTTTGGTCAGAGACATTCACACCAGTGGCCTGCTGGAGGTCATTTTGTAGGGCTCTGGCAGGGCTCATCCTGTTCCTCCTTGCACAAAGGAGCAGATACCGGTCCTGCTGATGGGTTAAGGACCTTCTACGGCCCTGTCCAGCTCTCCTAGAGGAACCTGTCTCCAATCTCCTCCATGCTCCTGGAATCTCCTCCATGCTCTTGAACATGCTCTCCTGGAATCTCCTCCATGCTCTTGTCTCCTGGAATCTCCTCCATGCTCTTGTCTCCTGGAATCTCCTCCATGCTCTTGTCTCCTGGAATCTCCTCCATGCTCTTGTCTCCTGGAATCTCCTCCATGCTCCTGTCTCCTGGAATCTCCTCCATGCTCTTGTCTCCTGGAATCTCCTCCATGCTCTTGAGACTGTGCTGGGAGATGCAGCAAACTTTCTGGCAATGACACGTATTGATGTGCCATCCTGGAGGAGTTGGACTGCCTGTACAACCTCTGTAGGGTCCAGGTATGGCCTCATGGTACCAGTAGTGACACTGACCCAGCCAAATGCAAAACTAGTGAAAAACAGTCAGAAAAGATGAGGAGGGAAAAAATGTCCGTAGCCTCCAACTGTAAAAACCATTCCTGTTTTGGGGGTTGTCTCATTGTTGCCCATCTAGTGCACCTGTTGGTAATTTCATTAACACCAAAACAGCTGAAACTGATTAACAACCCCCCCCCCCCTGCTATTTACCTGACCAGATCCATATAGCCATTGACTTGATGTTAGACTCTGACAAAGTCTTCCTTTCATTTTTTTGAGCAGTGTATATATATATATATTTATATATATATACTATTATACAGGATTTATGGCGCCAACAGTTTGCTCAGCGCTTTACAATATAACGGGAGACAATACAGCAACGATACAGTTCAATACAAGAGGGATAGGAGGGCCCTGATCCTGGGAGCTGACAATCTAAGAGATATCTACCTCAAGGCATATCTCCACTCTCAATCCCTTTCTGACCCTAAATTCTGTCCCTGCCCATCCCCCACACTAGTGCATGCCACTTGACATAGCTGCTCTTACATTGTGGGGGTTGACCGGTTTAAATTTGGAGCAATTTAGCAGATAGACAAAAAATAAAAAATAGTTTTTTAAAAAAACATAAAATCTACAATTTTTTTTTTCACACGTATACAAAAAACCCCACAAAAGTTATTGTATTGTTAGTATTTCATTGTGCAGAAAGGGTTGTAGTTATTTCTATGATGCTATAGTCCTGTCGCTGTGCTATGTCTGGAGCCGCGGTTGTAGCGCAGTCCTCATGTCATTGTACACACTGCAGACTTCTGTATTTCTAAACTTCTTCCTCACTTGCAGTTCCTGGTGTTCACCAGCAGGCGGAGGGTTTTCTTTTCCTCATTCTATGTCTGTACTTCATTCCCCCATAGAGATTACATTTCTTTTATGTTACCGTCATTGTTCATGGAGAACGTCATCCCCTTATTATCCCCAGCATGACATTGCCGTATCTGCTCCACATCTTCCTCGTGACGTCATGCCGGCTGTTTTATTTCCATCCTGAGATGGCCTGAAATCCGACAAATCTCTCATCGCTTCTCATCCTAGCCAGAGCTTCTCTCCGGATATAAGATATATTATACAGAGTGACATCACCGCTCTCCGGATATAAGATATATTATACAGAGTGACATCACCGCTCTCCAGATATAAGATATATTATACAGAGTGACATCACCGCCTCTCCGGATATAAGATATATTATACAGAGTGACATCACCGCTCTCCCGGATATAAGATATATTATACAGGAGTGACATCACCGCTCTCTGGATATAAGATATATTATACAGGAGTGACATCACCGCTCTCCAGATATAAGATATATTATACAGAGTGACATCACCTCTCTCCAGATATAAGATATATTATACAGAGTGACATCACCGCTCTCCAGATATAAGATATATTGTACAGGAGTGACATCACCGCTCTCCGGATATAAGATATATTATACAGGAGTGACATCACCGCTCTCCAGATATAAGATATATTGTACAGGAGTGACATCACCGCTCTCCGGATATAAGATATATTGTACAGGAGTGACATCACCGCTCTCCAGATATAAGATATATTATACAGAGTGACATCACCGCTCTCCAGATATAAGATATATTGTACAGGAGTGACATCACCGCTCTCCGGATATAAGATATATTGTACAGGAGTGACATCACCGCTCTCCGGATATAAGATATATTATACAGGAGTGACATCACCGCTCTCCGGATATAAGATATATTATACAGGAGTGACATCACCACTCTCCGGATATAAGATATATTATACAGGAGTGACATCACCGCTCTCTGGATATAAGATATATTATACAGGAGTGACATCACCGCTCTCCGGATATAAGATATATTATACAGGAGTGACATCACCGCTCTCCGGATATAAGATATATTATACAGGAGTGACATCACCGCTCTCCATATATAAGATATATTATACAAGAGTGACATCACCGCTCTCCAGATATAAGATATATTATACAGAGTGACATCACCGCTCTCTGGATATAAGATATATTATACAGAGTGACATCACCGCTCTCCAGATATAAGATATATTATACAGGAGTGACATCACCCGCTCTCCTGGATATAAGATATATTATACAGAGTGACATCACCGCTCTCCAGATATAAGATATATTATACAGAGTGACATCACCGCTCTCCAGATATAAGATATATTATACAGGAGTGACATCACCGCTCTCCGGATATAAGATATATTATACAGAGTGGACATCACCGCTCTCCAGATATAAGATATATTATACAGGAGTGACATCACCGCTCTCCAGATATAAGATATATTATACAGAGTGACATCACCGCTCTCCAGATATAAGATATATTATACAGGAGTGACATCACCGCTCTCCGGATATAAGATATATTATACAGAGTGGCATCACCGCTCTCCAGATATAAGATATATTATACAGAGTGACATCACCGCTCTCCAGATATAAGAGATATATTATACAGGAGTGACATCTCCGCTCTCCGGATATAAGATATATTATACAGAGTGACATCACCGCTCTCCGGATATAAGATATATTATACAGGAGTGACATCACCGCTCTCCAGATATAAGATATATTATACAGAGTGACATCACCGCTCTCCAGATATAAGATATATTATACAGAGTGACATCACCACTCTCCAGATATAAGATATATTATACAGGAGTGACATCACCGCTCTCTCCGATATAAGATATATTATACAGAGTGACGCTCTCCGATATAAGGATATAAGATATAATATTATACAGGAGTGACATCACCGCTCTCCGGATATAAGATATATTATACAGAGTGACATCACCGCTCTCCAGATATAAGATATATTATACAGAGCGACATCACCGCTCTCCAGATATAAGATATATTATACAGGAGTGACATCACCGCTCTCCAGATATAAGATATATTATACAGGAGTGACACATCACCGCTCTCCAGATATAAGATATATTATACAGGAGTGACATCACCGCTCTCCAGATATAAGATATATTATACAGGAGTGACATCACCGCTCTCCAGATATAGATATATTATACAGGAGGTGACATCACCGCTCTCCAGATATAAGATATATTATACAGGAGTGACATCACCGCTCTCCAGATATTATAAGATATATTATACAGAGTGACATCACCGCTCTCCAGATATCAATCTCACAAGATATATATATTATACAGAGTGACATCACCCGCTCTCCAGATATAAGATATATTATACAGAGTGACATCACCGCTCTCCGGATATAAGATACATTATACAGGAGTGACATCACCGCTCTCCAGATATAAGATATATTTACAGAGTGACATCACCTCTCTCCAGATATAAGATATATTATACAGAGTGACATCACCGCTCTCCAGATATAAGATATATTATACAGGAGTGACATCACCGCGCTCTCCAGATATAAGATATATTGTACAGGAGTGACATCACCGCTCTCCGGATATAAGATATATTGTACAGGAGTGTGACATCACCGCTCTCCAGATATAAGATATATTATACAGAGTGACATCACCGCTCTCCAGATATAAGAGATATATTGTACAGGAGTGACATCACCGCTCTCTCCGGATATAAGATATATTGTACAGGAGTGACATCACCGCTCTCCGGATATAAGATATATTATACAGAGTGACATCACAGCTCTCCAGATATAAGATATATTATACAGAGTGACATCACCGCTCTCCGGATATAAGATATATTATACAGAGTGACATCACCGCTCTCCAGATATAAGATATATTATACAGGAGTGACATCACCGCCCTCCAGATATAAGATATATTATACAGGAGTGACATCACCGCTCTCCGGATATAAGATATATATTATACAGAGTGACATCACCACTCTCCAGATATAAGATATATTGTACAGGAGTGACATCACCGCCCTCCAGATATAAGATATATTGTACAGGAGTGACATCACCGCTCTCCGGATATAAGATATATTATACAGAGTGACATCACCCACTCTCCAGATATAAGATATATTGTACAGGAGTGACATCACCGCCCTCCAGATATAAGATATATTGTACAGGAGTGACATCACCGCCCTCCAGATATAAGATATATTTCTATAGCAGTGACTATAGAAGACAGAGACTGCGGACACAGTACAGGAGATGACCAGAGACTGCGGACATAGTACAGGAGATGGTCAGAGACTGTGGACATAGTACAGGAGATGGTCAGAGACTGCAGACATAGTACAGGAGATGACCAGAGAGACTGCAGACAGGATACAGGAGATGACCAGAGACTGCGGACACAGTACAGGAGATGGTCAGAGACTGCGGACATAGTACAGGAGACGGTCAGAGACTGCGGACATAGTACAGGAGATGGTCAGAGACTGCAGACATAGTACAGGAGATGGTCAGAGACTGCGGACATAGTACAGGAGACGGTCAGAGACTGCGGACATAGTACAGGAGATGGTCAGAGACTGCGGACATAGTACAGGAGATGGTCAGAGACTGCGGACATAGTACAGGAGATGGTCAGAGACTGCGGACATAGTACAGGAGACGGTCAGAGACTGCAGACATAGTACAGGAGATGGTCAGAGACTGCAGACATAGTACAGGAGATGGTCAGAGACTGCGGACATAGTACAGGAGACGGTCAGAGACTGCAGACATAGTACAGGAGATGGTCAGAGACTGCAGACATAGTACAGGAGATGGTCAGAGACTGCAGACATAGTACAGGAGATGGTCAGAGACTGCGGACATAGTACAGGAGATGGTCAGAGACTGCAGACATAGTACAGGAGATGGTCAGAGACTGCGAACATAGTACAGGAGATGGTCAGAGACTGCGAACATAGTACAGGAGATGGTCAGAGACTGTGGACATGGTACAGGAGATGGTCAGAGACTGCAGACATAGTACAGGAGATGACCAGAGACTGTGGACACGGTACAGGAGATGGTCAGAGACTGCAGAGACACAGTACAGGAGATGACCAGAGACTGCAGACATAGTACAGGAGATGGTCAGAGACTGCAGACAGGATACAGGAGATGGTCAGAGACTGCAGACATACTACAGGAGACGGTCAGAGACTGCAGACAAGTACAGGAGATGACCAGAGACTGTGGACACAGTACAGGAGATGGTCAGAGACTGCAGACATAGTACAGGAGACGGTCAGAGACTGCGGACATAGTACAGGAGATGGTCAGAGACTGCGGACATAGTACAGGAGACGGTCAGAGACTGCAGACATAGTACAGGAGACGGTCAGAGACTGCAGACATAGTACAGGAGACGGTCAGAGACTGCAGACACGGTACAGGAGATGACCAGAGACTGCGGACACAGTACAGGAGATGGTCAGAGACTGCGGACACAGTACAGGAGATGACCAGAGACTGCGGACACAGTACAGGAGATGGTCAGAGACTGCGGACACAGTACAGGAGATGGTCAGAGACTGCGGACATAGCACAGCTATGACTGCAGCCCGCAGACATGTTGCAGGAGAGTGTTAGAGATGACTGGCATTATATCCCGCTGTTCATGCGTTTAGCGGACTCTCTGGGGTCTTCAGCCCGTCACTCCATAGACAAATCACGCCGCCGGCATGTGATGGGCCCTTTACAATGGCTCCCCTCCCCCCCGGTACGTGTGTAACTTTCCAGCCGGTTATGTAAGCGAGCAGATAGACGTAGTGTAACGCCAACAGACATATTCCGCATGGCGCACAGCGAGCCGGCTCGCGAGAGAGGAACACATGTCAGTCAAATGACCTAGATTTGCAAAAAAAGTAGCTGCTCTATGGGGGTTTTGGGCGAACAATTTCAGGGTAATTAGCAGACACGCGGCACAGTGAGACGGCACGCAGAGGGAGATAGGGGAGGGGGGGGCGCGCGCGCTCTCTCTGAGCCCTGTCTAGACACAACTGCTGAATTGTTTCCGAAAAAGCAATTGACAGTCCAGATTTCCTCCCGCTATCCGCTGGATGGGGATTTGTCGGAGACATTAAAAAAAAAAAAACCAGAACAAAGAACGCGTCGGTAACCCGTTCACCTCCGTATCGCACGCCGCTCACCTGCGCCTCGGCGGGGGGATTAGCCTGTCAGCTCTTTGCAAATTGCAGACGGCGGGATAATTATGGATGCTCTATGCGGCAAAATCCTTTGATAGGAGCCATCGGAGGCAAAGAGATAGCGCAACTTCCTCCCTGCCACAGGCAACCAAAATAGCAAGAAGGGGAGAGAGCGAAAAAAAAGGAAAGAGTTTGCTGCAGACGGAGAGTTGGATTGCAGTTTAGAAAAAAACCGGCGCCATTTTGTTCACCTTGATTGACCCGTCGGATCGTGAAAACCAAAGCCGTTCGCAAAGGCTGGGGCGCGGATTAGTTGCCGGTCGCGTTCCGTGACCGAAGCCGACCCCAGTCCAGATGCTGTCTATATGTCACCACCATCCGTTATTAAAGGGGTAACGATCTTATCGGTCGCACGCAGGAGATCCGAAGGATCGCGAATAGTCGACATTTCACAAAAAAATTTTTGGCAAATGTGCGGCAAAATGATCTTTCCTGGATTTCCGGCAGGGGCGCGGATTATTTGCCGTCGTGACCGAAGCCGACCCCAGTCCAGATGCTGTATATATGTGTACCACCATCCGTTATTAAAGGGGTAACGATCTTATCGGGCGCACGCAAAGATCCGAAGGATTGCGAAAAGTCGATATTTCACTCATTTTTTTTTTTTGTGTTTTTGGTAAATACGCAGCAAAATGATCTTTCCTGGATTTCCGGCATTGGCGCAGATTAATTGCCGGTCGCGTCGCGTTCCGTGACCGAAGCCGACCCCAGTCCATCAGTCCATATGCTGTATAATTTTACCTCCATCCGTTATTAAAGGGGTAACGATCTTATTGGTCGCACGCAGAAGATCCGAAGGATCGTGAGAAGTCGACACTTCACTCATTTTTCAAAAAAAAGTTTTAGCAAATACGCGTCAAAATGATCTTTCCTGGATTTCCGGCAGGGGCGCGGATTATTTTCCGGTCGCGTTTCGTGGCCAAAGCCGACCCCAGTCCAGATGCTGTCTATGTTTCACCACAATCTGTTATTAAAGGGGTAACCATCCTATTGGTCGCATGCAGAACATCCGAAGGATCGCGAATAGTCGACATTTCACTAATTTTTTAAATTTGTTTGGTAAATACGCGGCAAAATGATCTTTCCTGGATTTCCGGCAGGGGCGCGGATTATTTGTCGGTCACGTTCCGTGACCAAAGCCGACCCCAGTCCAGATGCTGGCTATATGTCACCACAATCCGTTATTAAAGGAGTAACGATCTTATCGGTCGCACGCAGGAGATCCGAAGGATTGCGAATAGTCGACATTTCACTCATTTTTTTACAAATATTTTGGGTAATTATGCAGCAAAATGATCTTTCCTGGATTTCCGGCAGGGGCGCGGATTATTTGCCGGTCGCGTTTTGTGACTGAAGCCGACCCCAGTCCAGATGCTGTATATATGTCACCACCATCCGTTATTAAAGGGGTAACGATCTTATTGGTTGCACGCACAACATCCGAAGGATCGCAAATAGTCGACATTTCACTCATTTTTTTTTAATGTTTTTGGTAAATATACGCAGCAAAATAATCTTTCCTGGATTTCCGGCAGGGGCGCGGATTATTTGCCAGTCGCGTTCTGTGACCGAAGCCGACCCCAGTCCAGATGCTATATATATGTCACCACCATCCGTTATTAAAGGGGTAACGATCTTATTGGTCGCACGTAGAAGATCCGAAGGATCGCAAATAGTCGACATTTCACTCATTTTTTACAAATTTTTTGCCGGTCGTGACCGAAGCCGACCCCAGTCCAGATGCTATATATATGTCACCACCATCCGTTATTAAAGGGGTAACGATCTTATTGGTCGCACGCAGAAGATCCGAAGGATCGCGAATAGTTGACGTTTCACTCATTTTTTTTTTTTAATGTTTTTGGTAAATACGCAGCAAAATGCTCTTTCCTGGATTTCCGGCAGGGGCGCGGATTATTTGCCGGTCGCGTTCTGTGACCGAGGCCGACCCCAGTCCATATGCTGGCTATATTTCACCACCATCCGTTATTAAAGGGGTAACGATCTTATTGGTCGCACGCAGGAGATCCGAAGGATCGCAAATTGACGACATTTCACTCATTTTTTTTTTTTAAAAAAAATTTTGGCAAAACAATCTTTCCTGGATTTCCGACACGCCGCAAGAGGATGTTGTTGTTGTCGCTTCCTAACGCCGGTGGCTCATTAGCTTTTCGGTGACGGATATTTTCCAGCACGTTGGCAGATTTTTCTTTCAGGGTTGTCATCCAGCAAGCGATATTTTATTAGAGTTTTGAAACTTTCACCCCTGAGGTCATCAGGGTAAAAAAGAAAGAAAAAGAAAAGTCTCTGCCCAGCTGTCACTATCAGCAAGGACAAAAACTCTGTCGGTGACGAGCGATTTGCATGAGGCTGTCCGCTCAGCCATGGGAGGGTTAAACGATACCGCGACCCGCTCTATTATCGCCGTCTGCTCGGAAATGTCAGCTTTGTGTTTGCTCGTTTGTCTAACAGAGGCACGCCGGAGAGGGAGGTGGGCTCCTAGAGAGACCAGACAGCTCTGTGACACCGTTAATGAGAGCGAGCCGCGCCTGCACCCGAGCTAATTATCCGAAGTTCGGCGGCGGCGACAGATTTACGCTCACGCAAAACCCGCAAACGTGGGTGAACCCGGCGAGGAAGAGAAGACTTTCCTTAGTTACTGAGTAGGGATGGGCGAATGTTCCCGGCTTCCATTGAAGTCTCTTAAACCTGAACCCACTAATAGGGGGAGATTTACTAAATCTGGAGGGTGCAAAATCGGGTGCAGATCTGCACAGAGAAACCAATCAGCTTCCAGGTTTCAAGTGAACGAGCTGAAGTTAGAAGCTGATTGGCTCCCATGCACAGCCGCACCAGATTTCGCACTCTCCGGTTTTAGGGCTCTGTCACACTGGACGGATCCGCTCGCTCATTGGGGGGGATCTCTCCGCTGATCCCCGCCGAGCAAGTGGATGACAGCTCTGTGTCTGCTCCGCTGCTGCAGAACAGACACAGGGCTGCTCGCTCTCCTCAATGGGCGGGTCGGATGAAAACGCACCGCCTGTCCGTTTTCATCCGATCCGACAAATGGAAGGGGAAATTGGATCCCCATCCGTCCCTTTTTGGTGGTGGATTGGATGTTGGCGGGTGTAAACGTGTCCATTTACACCCGCTGCTCCATAGAGGGATGGAGGTTCCGATCTGATCCTGTTGGTGTGAAAGAGCCCTAAATCTTCCCCTATGTCTCCTCAATGGGCGGTCAGATGAAAAACACACCGCCTGTCTGTTTTCATCCGATCCAACGAACGGAAGGGGAAATTGGATCCCCATCCGTCCCTTTTTGGTGGATTGGATCGGATGTTGGCGGGTGTAAACGTGTCCATTTACACCCGCTGCTCCATAGAGGAGGATGGAGGTTCCGATCTGATCCTGTTGGTGTTAAAGAGCCCTAAATCTCCCCCTATGTCTCCTCAATGGGCGGTCGGATGAAAACGCACCGCCTGTCCATTTTCATCCGATCCGATGAACGGAAGGGGAATTGGAACCCCATCCGTCCCTTTTTGGCGGATTGGATGTCGGCGGGTGTAAACGTGTCCATTTACACCCGCTGCTCCATAGAGGAGGATGAAGGTTCCGATCTGATCCTGTTGGTGTGAAAGAGCCCTAAATCTCCCCCTATGTCTCCTCAATGGGCGGTCGGATGAAAACGCACCACCTGTCCGTTTTCATTCGATCCAACGACGGAAGGGGAATTGGATCCCATCCGTCCCTTTTTGGCGGATTGGATGTCGGCGGGTGTAAATGGACACATTTATACCCGCCGCTCCATAGAGGAGAATGGAGGTTCCGATTGAGGTCCTGTTGGTGTGAAAGAGCCCTAAATCTCCCCCTATGTCTCCTCAAAGGGCGGTTGGATGAATACGCACCGCCTGTCCGTTTTCATCCGATCCGACAAACGGAAGGGGAAATTGGATCCCCATCCGTCCCTTTTTGGTGGATTGGATCGGATGTTGGCGGGTGTAAACGTGTCCATTTACACCCGCCGCTCCATAGAGGAGAATGGAGGTTCCGATCTGATCCTGTTGGCGTTAAAGAGCCCTAAATCTCCCCCTATGTCTCCTCAATGGGGCGGTCGGATGAAAACGCACCACCTGTCCGTTTTCATCCGATCCGATGAACGGAAGGGGAATCGGAACCCCATCCGTCCCTTTTTGGTGGATTGGATGTCGGCGGGCATAAACGTGTCCATTTACACCTGCCGCTCCATAGAGGAGAATGGAGGTTCTGATCTGGTCCCATTGG